GCAGGAGCATTTCTTACATTGACTGTTGTGCAATTTTTTTTTTTTTTTTTTTTTAACAATATTCAGAATATCTTGATATTTATATAATTGTTTAAAATGTTGAAATACAGTAAAAAAAATATTGTTGAAATATTTTTATATGCACTAGTATTCAAAAGTTTGGGATTGATTGATTGATATATTTTTATTTGTTCATTTATTTATTTATTTTGTTTTTAAAAGAAATCACTTAGGCTCACCAAGGTAGAGTTATTTTAGTAAACTAAAACTGAAATTAAAAGTAAAAAATACATAAATAATTAATTAAATAAATGTTAACTTAAATCAAATAAAATACAAATAAATAAAAAAACCATTTCAACTATTTGCCAATGCAACATTTCTCATTTTAATGTAGTTCAACCTGATGTACTTAAATAACTAAAACTAAAACTGAAATAAATAAATAAAACAATTTCTAAAAATAATATAGACATATATAAATTAGATAAGAACTACTAAAAATAACAAAAATACACAACAAAAATTAATAAAATTTGACTAAAACTCAAAATAAAAACAGAAAATATACAAATAAAAACTGATTCAAAATATTAATAAAAACTATAATAATATTGCAATGATTATAAAATAGTACTGCTCCAAAGCTTAATTTATTTGATCAAAAATACAGTATTTTGTAGCATTACAAAATATTTGTAGCTTTATAAATATCTTTACTGTTACTTTAGATCAATTTAATGTGTCCTTGCTATAAAAAAAAAGTATTAATTTCTGTCAAAAATACACTGACTTCAGACTTTTGAACTGTAGCGTATTATAATATATTCAATGCCTTTTATTTATATACACCAATAAAACAATACATAATAACTAGATATGTACATTTTCTGAAGAAAATGTGAGTGGCATTGTTCTAATAAACCTGTGTTTATTTTTACTATAACATTTAAAATAATAAATTAAATATATATTGCCAACAAAAACCTAATTTATGAACATATCATAAATATTAGATGTATAACCCAGATGGTTAGATGGTTTACCATGATATATTAACAGCACAGCATGCTATTGCCTCATATCATGTCCAAAAATTATGGTAATATGATTATATTTTTTGTAAGTATTAGTCCAGCCAGTCGAGTCTGAGGCAGGCGGGAGGTTTAAAGGTGACCTCAGCGCTCATGACTCATTCATTAGTGAGCTTAATTAGTGCCGTAATCAACACTCACTTCCTCTGATTACAGGAAAAAGCAAGAAGAAGGATAAGTGTAAGAACGGCCAGATGTTCCCGCTGAGCGAGACCCAGTACTGCCCCTGTGACAAATACAACGCCCAGCCGGTGGGAAACTGGTCTGACTGCATCCTGCCCGAGGGCCGCGTGGAGAGCGCCGTGGGCATGAAGGTCCAGGGAGATGTTAAAGAGTGCGGACAGGGCTACCGCTACCAGGCCATGGTGTGCTACGACCAGGACAACAAGCTCGTGGAGACGTCACGCTGTAACAGTCATGGTAAGAAGTTCATCATGTGACTCTGAGCAGAGAGTTGACGTCTCATTAGGACGTAATTATAGTTAGCTGACAGTGCTAAGTAACCTTCCTGGACTTCACTAAACTAATTTATATTAATAAACCTAGCTAAGCCATGGTATAAATTCCCATCCTGTGAAGATTTGATGGTTAAGCTGTTTGGCTTTACAGACATACTAAGCCTCTTCCCCCTCTCAGATTTTTTAGTCAAGTGGATTCTTAAACATCCGCTTGAAAAATCTTGGAAATATATACATTTTAAATATTGTTTTTGAAAATGTATTTGAAAACTAAAAAGTAATTGTTTAATTTTATTATTTTATTTTATTTTATTTTATTTCCAGCCAGTCGTAATATCTAGCGTAGCGTTAGTTCTGGCAGGTCACGTTAGTCAAGCTCGCATCAGCTGACTTTCAGCTGATCCCCATCAACCTATGGGAATACGACACCTATCTAAGCATTCATAATTAAGGTCCCTGAGTATTATCAGCAGTTTTCGCATTGCTCAATAGCTAATTACCCTCCTCCATCCCCAACTCCTCCTCTGTCAGTCGGGATTCAGCCTTCTGATTCTCCTTTGAATCAGACCAATTCTAAAATGTGTACATAACATTATTGAACTTTAACGATATCTGCAATACATTTATGTTGGTTCTGTTCTGTTTACCCTAGGGGGGTTATCGCTGCTCTCCCTGCTCTCATCCATGCTAAGCTGCATGGATGCGCAGGGACAGTGGTCCTGACAGAAATAGCATTTAATGAATGTTTTAAACATGAAATTAATACTTTTAATTTTTTTCCAATATAGAATTCAAATATAGTATTTAATGGTTATATTATTTAAATATGTTTTATTTAAAGCTGATAATCTCTTAAAAATAAAGGTGCTTCGCGATGCCATATAAGAACCTTTTTGTCTAAATGGTTCCATAAAGAACCTTTAACATCTGAAGAACCTTTCTGTTTCACAAAAGGTTCTTTGTGGCGAAAGAAGGTACTTCAGCTTATAAAAAGGTAAGAAAGAGATGGTTCTTTAAAGAACCTTTGACTGAATGGTTCTTTGTGGAACCAAAAATGGTTCTTCTATGGCATCGCTTAAAGAACCTTTTGAAGCACCTTTATTTTTAAGAGTGTGCTTGTAGGATTTAAAACTGGAGCTTCATAAAATAATTATTTTATTTTATACTGAAATTTCAGTCATTCACAATTCATTTTTAAGTCCAAATTGCAGCTTATTCTGGCTAAGCGTGACATCTAAGGACAGATAAATCACACCTTCAATTGATCATGTGTTGTTTCATCTCTATTAATTCGTCTCTGTCTACAACTTCCTCTCTCTCGTGACCTTTCCTCTACTCCGTCTTTAGCTGATCTCCTCTCTCTGTTCGTGAATCTTTTGCTGCATTGCTCACTTAAATCTTGTTATTTGGATGACGAGCGGACCGGTACGAGTGCCAGGCGATGCTCGGTTGACTTTGTCCTCTGCCCGAGTGTCTGTTGCTCCCTGCTGATCTGCAGGTATAAATCTCCGGCCCTCATTAAAGACCGCAGGCTGTCCCGGGACCGGCCTAATCAGAGCTGACATTAACCACTGACAGATACTCTTGCTTATACAGCACACGGCCCATGCGGGGTTAGGAATCGAGAACGGGTTCTTATTCAGCCCGAATACATTTTTAAAAAATGCTTTTAATTTTTTATATTTATATATTTAGTATTCGTATTTATGATATTAATATTTTTCAATTTATATATATCTTTATATTTAATGTTTTATATATTTTTAATAACTTATCATTTTAATTTATATATTTATGTAAAAATATAATATGCTATAATAACACTAGGGCTGTCAAAAATAATGCATGAACTTTTGTGATTTATATTTATAATAAAATAAAATAAAATAAAAAAATAATAAAATTAAATAATAAAATAAAATAAATTAATGACTACATAAAATCTGTCACTTGCCAGTTAACTAGTAACTTTTAGTAGGAAATGCAACATAAATATATGGTTTAATTTGAACTGCAATAACTAACGTCTAACCCTAACACAAGTAATGATTTATTTTTAAGACATAAATTGCAATAGAATCTCTTTACTAGATGAGTCACATGATACTAATGAGCTACTGTATGTTAATAGTAACGCTTGACTGGGCAAGCATCAATAATGAATACTGATAATAATGATGATTTGATGTTATTCGGGCTGATCAGCAGCCCACGTTTAAAAACTGTGAGATGAGTCGTCACCGATAGCCTCGTGGGCAGCGCGTCGACATGTATTGCCATTGTGCTTCGGGCGTCCCGTGTTCGAGTCCCGGCTCGCGGACCTTTCCCGATCCCATCCCCCCTCTCTCTCCCACTTCGCTTCCTGTCTCACTATTTATCCT